CTCCAAAACCTAACCCAACCTGATCTATTTGTCTTTTCTTTTGTCATGTATTTACTACTTTCCATGTAAACTAAAAGAATACTTTCATCCATTTTGAATTTTTCAATAAAACATACCTTTGATAGAAATAATGGCCACAAAACCACTTCTCCAAAACCTAACATATTCGTCCTTCCTATTGGCACGTAGTTACTACTTTTCCCTTAAACCAAAGAGAGGTATTCCCGTTCATATTGCGTTTCAGAATAAATTATGCCCTGGCTGGAAATAATGTGCATAAAACCGCTTCTCGAAATTCAATATGGAAATCGTAATAGAACGTGGCTAGGAAATTTATAGACGGTTGAAAAAGATCACGGTAAGTTGCGTTAACATCGAAACACGGGTCAAAGTAAAAGGTGGTAGAGCGTGGAAACTGAAATCGACCGCGCGACGTTGATAACAACTTCACCTTCGGACCTCCGACCTTCTCGCGTGATTTTATTGCGTTCCACGGAACACGTATCGGACGTAGGCGATTTAGGTGCTAGGATAATGAGTTCCTGGATCGTCGGTTCTACACACACCGCGCCTTATGCGACTTATAAGGATGCGCCAATCAGACCGACGCATATACAATATCGCAACTACCTATGTACAACAATATCGATGTATCAGCGCGTCGATAGACCAGCTATTATTCGTGAGTCGTGATCCACGGATCAGACTATCGAGAAGAAGAGGGAGGGAGGAGGGGGGTGAGAGGACGGTTCTCTATTACTCGGTTTCAATACGATACACATAGAGAGATGGCAATGATGCACGGACCGCGACTGGGATCGAATACCTCACGGCCGTTGCCTCGCACCGATGATACACCGTGTCATTTGCTCTAATCGTGTAACGATATCAATTACCCGAGCGGTTCTCGAGGCTTGATATTTGTTGCGCTGTGTCATTGCGCCGACCGCTGGGTTCGGAATAAAACGGATCGTCAGAGAATGAAATGAAAGTGCCCTGTCTTCGGTACGAGATCGCTTTTGTATATCGGGCGCGGCGCGTAACCGTTTCGTAGTAACCGAAGAGTGAGAAATGTGTTACGACAGTTGAGCCACGGAGTGAAACTGCGTTCCAACCGTTCGACTTCAGTGATTCGGATATTGTGACAGGGTAAAGTGGTCGATGGCAATGGTGGAACTAGCGGGAAAAACCGCAGGTATAGGCAGGACAAAAAATGGTTAGGACAGGTCGACGGCCTCGTTGGACTAGTGCTCGCGTCGGAGTAAAACAGAGGCTTGCTACGGTGATAGTGGAACGGGGGATACATACGTTACGGCAATAATGTACCAGCCAGACATTAACTATCATTTTATACATCTTAACTGCGGCCAATTAAAAACTTATTTATGGGTGAGTCGGCGGTACAGCTATCCGGCTGAACAGAACCAGGGGGGGGGGCAAAAAGTGGGTCCCCTTCGTTGTAAATTAAAATGAAAAATCGCGACGCGAAACGTCAGCGTGAAACTTGGACGCCAGGAATAGAGTCAGAGATTTGGCAGACTTTGCCACTCGGTTTAACACTAGATTGCCCAAGAAAGTCATTTTGACTGGTTTTGGGCAAATGTACAAATAATAATGCATAAANCCGTACCCAGTGGACGTCTCGAATGAATTCGTACCGTATCGTACGGCCAGTGCGTGCTAAAGTCTGCCGTAGTCAAAGGGTTAAATATCATTATTAAAGCTAGTGTTAAGATAAATGGTCTGATCTTTCTCCCCTGCGCCTACAAAATTTAAGGTGAGATAACGTCCTGGTGAGCGAGAGTCACCGCTCGAGTGCAAAGGGTTAGTATGCAACGAATCGACCCACCGCCGTATGATAAAGCGCGAGTCAGTTTTTACGAGAGATCGACAGGTTTCGTGTTCTACAGCGTACTGTCCTTCTCATCGTCTTGGTGCAGAACGAACGAGGCGAAGTTGCACCCGAGAGACCAGCACGGAAAGGGTCCTGAACCCGCCCGCTTGCTCGTCGACCCGGCTAGTTATCCGCGCACACGGACAGCCGGATAAATACAAGACCTACAACGTGTCTCGAACAAACGCGTTACCCGACTACCTGCCTACGCGCAATAGCGAGAGACCTGCACAGCCTCGATCGGCCCGCAACGTCTACGCTTAGGTACGCTTCTTCTTCTTCTTCTTCTTCTTCTTCTCCTCCTTCTTCTACTTCCTACACCGAATTTTTTCATCGCCGTCTTCTTCCAAGGTACACTATATCTTCGGTTATCTCCGCCAGAGAGGAATCGTAAATTCGAGCTCGCGGGGCTAAGTTGTGCGTAAAACACTCGACGCGGCTCTCCTGCGATGATTTACGCGATCCCGTCCGTCGTGCCTTACGGACGGCGTAAATTGCGTCCGCGTAAACTTGCGCATTTTTCCGGTGGCTATCGCCGAGGGCTGCTTAACCACGCCAAGCCAGAGATCAAGAATGTTTCCGGATGTTTCGTGTGCTCGCAACGCTCGTAATGGATTGAGCTGACGATTCTAAGTATATTTACGTTTACCAAAGAGATTCATGGCTAGGCTTCGTCGTGCAACTTATCATTCTATTAGTAACGTCGGTTTTCCAAAGTGGATTTTAGTATCGAAAGTACGATATTGAAATGCGAGGTTCCTGATGTAATTTTAAACAATATTTTCCTTAGCGAAAAAGTTATCCGAGGTGTGGTTGAGGAGTTATTAAGGAAAGAACCCTGACCAATCAGAGCGCTCGGTTGGCGCGAGCTTCCAATCGGGAGCGTTGGCTCGGATCCTCTTGAGCTGAAATTTAGTTTCAGACAGGCAGTTTTGCAATGAAGTAAACAATTTCATTTTCTTAAAACGCTGATGTAA